TCAACATCCTTAGCTATCAAAAAGTTACAAATCAAAACTACTTTATTGATTGATCTTATACCTGTCAGATTTGCTAGCAGCATTAACACCGTGACATCTCATACTGTCAAAAATATGGAGAAAATGGAACACTTCCCCTTTGCTGCTGGGAGTGCAAACTTGTATAGCCAGTATGTAAATCAATATGGCAATTCGTCAGATAATTGGGAATCTATCTACCTCAAGACTCAACTGTATCACTGTGGTAGTTTGAATATAGTTGGCCCTCATAATCTCTTGTGGAGTGGAAGTAGTGGTAGGTGTGGCTGTTTTGGAGTTGGCATGGTCTTGTAAGAGGAAGAATGTCACTGTGGGTATTCTCAGGATACTTCCCAGTGTGTCAGACTATGTCCTGTTTCCTCTGAGTCAAGAACAAAGGACTCTCAGCAACAGTGTCACATCTGGCTGACAGCTAACATGCTTTCAGCCAAGATGATAATTTACTCACCCTATAAAATTGTACGTGAGCCACCTCAATTAAATGATTTAGTTATAATAATTTCTGTGGTCATCATGTCTCCTTACCAAAAAAAAAAAAAAAAAAACAGAATTTGGTTCCAGAGACTTGGGTATTGCTGTTCTAGTCCTAATCATGCTTTTGTTTTGAATAATAAGGTCTTTGATTCTTTGGCTTAAAAAAAGGAAAGCATATGGGGTCATACTAGGAAGAGTACGGGAGGGTATGATGTTGATAATGATATGAAATATCAGGATTCACATCAAGAGATTTCAGAGAAGAATTTTAGTATGTTCTTTAGAAATTATTCTTGTACTTTTTTGATGAAGAAAGTACCTTGGTTCAAAGAGTCTGCCTGAGACCTATGTAAGGAGATTTTGATTAATTTCTTTGGCAGAAGGAATCTCAACACAGCTTAAGATAGAGCCTGCCAAGTGGATATTAGTGGTAACCCTACTGAAGATACATACTGCTGAAAACAGCAGCTGAATAAGGTAACAGACTTGAGGAGGATAAGGGCCCCAAAAGTGTAATCTAAGTCCTCTGCTCAAGGACATCAACAGATTAAGAAATGGAATAAAGGAATTGGTGGCCTGAGAGGGTGGTGGCACAGTGACTTTAACCCTAGCACTCAGAACACAGAGGCCTGCACACCTCTGTTAGTCCAAGCACAGCCTAGTTTACAGATCAAGTTTCAGAGCAGCCAAACTTATAGAGGGAAAGACAGAAAGCTGGTAAAGGTAGAATTAAACAAGGTGCCATGTTCCAACCCCGGTAAGCAGCAAAACCTGACAGCTTGGGCCACATGGTTCTGGCTTGAGATGAGGATAAATGAAAGGCAATAAATCATCTGTTTCTGGTTAGCTGGGGCTGAAGAATCAGCTGTGATGAGCAAGTTATTAGATGTATTTAAGCGAAATATTGCTCTGCTGGGTACTTAATGCTGGACGGCGATGATTCAGAGACCAGCGTCACTGATGTGAAAATGTCTGGGAAGTGTTTTCTAAGAGCACAGAGAAGCTGTCTTCCAGAATTACCCAAGGCTGTACCTCATGCTGGTAGATGGAGTTTGTAATGTGTTTCACCCAGGTGGTACAGGTTTTGAAGGTATTGATGGATGTAAGGCTTGGCACTGAGAAAGGTCAGGAAAGGACTACACTGAAGGTGCAGTATCATTGGCAGTTGAGTGCCCAGGACTGTAAGGGTTGCCAAGGGGTGCGGCAACCTGAAGAGATTCTATGAGAAACTACTGGTGAAAGTGAAACCCAGTTGAAACAGATTCCAGTGTTTGGGAGATGTCAGCAGTGTGAGATGACCACCAAAACAGCAATGACAGTGGAACTGAGCCAGCCAGAGTCTAGAAGATCAGGTGTGTGCACTGCAGAGGGCAGAGTCACTGTATTGACCCAAAGCCTATGGAAGGGTACAGAAGTTCTTGAGTGGATCTTAATATTGGAAGGTTGAAATTCTTTAATTACCCAAGATGTTAGAGATCCCAGGGTCATTGGCTACCAGCCAAGGAGAGCTACTAATGGGTTATGAAACCAGCCCAAGAAAAAGAAGTGTGCTGCTCTCAACACAGCAGAACAGGATTGAAGACCTGGAGAGCTATTGGTCATGGAATTAGGTATTATGACATTGACTGTTTTTCTTAATTGTTACTTGTATTTGGTTCTACCCTAGTGCTCTGATCCATCCAACTTCTGGATCCTGTCCATCTAGGTGCTCTTCCTAGCCACCTTGGGCCTCAAGTTGGGCCAGTCATTGGTTAGACACTACACAAATCTTGAGCCACCATTTTCCTGATATATCTTTCATACACAACAAGTCTGTGTCAAATATTTTATGGATGGCTTGGTTTTCTCATCCCACCACTAGGAGCCATGTGTGATTACAGAAGATGACCAGTACAGCCTCCATATTTCTGAGTTATGGGGAGTCCTCACTATAATGACCCTCAAATCTTTTAGAAAGTTGTTACTGCACAGTTTCAATATCAACCCTTGAAAGCTTTCCTAGTCTAGTAATTCCTTGCTGTGTTTTTCCCCTCCATATTTCCATTTACTCAAATGATCCTTCCTGTTCTTACTCTGAGTACACCCACAGAATCTAGTCTATTTTATCTTCCTGTTTGAAATCCAAGCACCCCCTGCACAGCCATTTTTGTCACTTACCCTATCTGGGTCTGTGGATTGTACTGTGATTAGTCTTTACTCAACAGCTAATATCCACTTACAAAGAGTACACATCATGTTTGCCTATGTCATTTGGATTTACTTACTCAGAAGCAAAAGAACTCAAGAAGCAACATATCAAGAAATAAATTAATTGAATAAAAATGTGGTACAGATTTAAACAAGGAGTTCTAAATAGATAAATCTGTCTTAGAAACACTTAGCTAAATGTTCAATATGCTTAACCATCAATAAAATGTTCATCAAAAGAGCTTTTCGAATTCACCTTATACCTCTCAGAATAGCTAGGTTCAATAACATAATGGAAAACTCATGCTGGCAAAGATGTTGAATAATGAGAACATTCCTCCATTGCTGCTGTGAATGCAAACCTGTGTAGCCACTACGGAAACCAATATGGCAGTTCCTCAGATAATTGGGAATCAATCTTCTTTAAGACTCACATAATCCACTCTGGTAGTTTGAATGTAGTTTGATCCAATAATCTCCTAGGGAGTGGCACTATTAGATATGACTTTATTGGGCTGGGTTATGGCCAATCAAGTCAATATCGTGATTCTTATAAGAGACTTCACATTGAAACACTTCAGGAACTGTTGCAGCCTTTGGCAATCATTGTAGTTAGACTAAATACTTTTTTAATCATGGGATGACTATGAATATTTATAGATCAGGGTCAGAATGTAGTTGATCGAAGGAAAAGGATCCAGATTAGAAGTGGTTGAACACTTGTCTCTCCGGGGTGCTCTTCTTTGTTGTATTTGTGGAATATTTAGTAGGAGAAATCTTTTGGATAAAATTCCTATATTGGGGTTTGGATTTACATATTTATAACCTCAACCCATTTCTGGTTATGTGTGTCCTGCTGTCATGACTTCACCACCTTTATAACTAAATGATGGTATCTCTAAATAATCATATCACTAAATGACAAAACATGCAGTTGAAACAAATGCTATTCACTCTTAAGCCTTTTGCTATCCTGATTTCTATTTTAATTCTTTGTTTTTTACTTTTGTTTTTGAAAGGCAATATTTTTTTCTGTAGCTCTGGGTTCTGAATGTAGCTCTTTAGACCATGCTGTCTTCAACTCAGAAATACAAATAATCCTGGCTTTAGCACAGAAGGATTAATGGTTAAGCAACATACTTTGTGTGTGTGTGTGTGTGTGTGTGTGTGTGTGTGTGT